CAAGCAATCCACGGCAGTTTTCCCACCTGTATCGACGGCTGGCGCCGGAAGTTCGCCGTCTCCTCCGCCGAGGCCTTGGGAGAGCGAAAGGCTGGCCGGGGCCTGGCGCCCTTTCGCGGGCGCCTCGTAACTGGCCATAGAATCACCCGTTTTCCCAGGAGTCTTGAAACGCAAATCGCGGCCAGCGGACCAGGTTCTTCTTGATGTTGTAGAAAGCTGGGATTTAAGGCAAATTGCTATGATACCAGGATATTTCAGGGGAATCCACTGTTAAGTGAGAACAAAATCATGGGTGTGGCCAGCTTCAGTATCACACACAAACACAAACACAAACACGGAGAACAAGAGTAAAGGGAGGTAGCCAAACGCACACATGGCTGCTCACCTGCATGAGGTGAAACAATTCAGGAATCGGGGCTGCCTGGCGGCCCCAGACCTACAAAAGTAGCAAACAGCAAAAGCCATCCCATGCAACAACACATTTCAACTCACACCCACGAAACAGCCAAAAAAAAACAGAAAGTACAACACGACCACTAAACGCATGCAAGACCCATCGAGCCGGACAGTTACAAAACACCACATTAAAACACATTAAAACACTTACAAGGCAAACAAATACAAAACACATTAAAACACCACAGTGCCACAGAAACAAGAAGAGATTTCGAGAGATCAAATGGGAGATCTGGTGCCCAAATGTCCCTTTCTTGGAGCATCAACCGGAAGATCACCACTTTGAGATGGGAGGAAACCCGGGTGCCACAAATCTCTGGGAGGAAACAAATTTGACGAAACCTTGGTTGCTGTTGACCCCCTGCAAAAAGCTCAACTTGGGGGTTTAGTGGAAAACCCCTTGATTTCCCAAAAGGCTACAAAGTCTAAAGATCCAACCCAATAGCAGTCAAGAACCCGACCAGAGATCTCGTGGGAACTCCGTCGATCGGGGCACCGGCCATCTCGGACCGCGAGCTCCGCGAGCTCCGCAGCTCGCGCAGCTCTTGGCTGAAGGCCTTGAAGGATCTGAAAGGATCCAAAAGGGGCTGGGATCTCCGGACAGGGAAACCGTCTGATCCTAGGTTTTCCAAAGATAAGTTGAGAGGAAACAAGTTGTTAGACTAGGACCCTTTTGCTTCAGATGCCACCAAGCAGAATCACTTGTGAGTCTTGACCAATGCTGTACCCTGTGAGTGGGGTGTTCGCAATGGTTGAATGTCCATTCCTCAACTGCAATCCGTATAGGGAGCGCACTACAACAAGGGAAACAAAGTCATCCATTTGGCAGGATTAAAGATTGATTTGGAACAACCCAGCCTCGGCGAAGGTTTATTCCTCTTGACCGCCCCCTTGGTTCAGATAACAGGCCACCCTGGAAGAGTGGAATACCCCACTTAAGGGAGCTCTTTTATTTTCCCAAAACGGAGCTCAAGGTTATCCTTGGCTTGGTCCAAGCTTGAGGAAAATGGCAACCTTCCGCTCGGGGAGTCACGAGAAGCCAAAGAATCGCGCCAAGGGTGTGACACCCGATCCCCAAGGACTCGCCAGTGCCACCAGAACAATAGATTAGTTGAGAAACGATGCGTCCAATTGTCGGCCTTGGTGCCCCTTTCAAAGGAAAATGAAACAACTGTGCTGCGTTTTGCCCCAGGGCTGCTTATGATCTTTCCATTGCTCCCCTATGGCACGAACTCCTTGCTTGAATCTCACACCCGTTTTGGATCCCAAAACAGCCTCCATGGGGAAAACACACTGCGCAAGAAGCAAACTGGAGGTGTGTTCGAGGAGGGTGTGGTGTGGTTGGGGGCTGGGAGCAGGTTTATAAAGCTAAGGCCAGGCAGTTCTATGTCAACAACCTCGGTGCCGGCCTCGTTGATGCTAGGTTTCCAATCAGGCTAAACAATTGAACACGTGTTTATTCAAAATGGATCAAGCCAAAAACTGGCTTAGTGAATACAATATATAGATCCCTCCAAATGACATTCAAAGGGGTTTACGGTCCACGTGCCTCAACTCGATTTTGGCGCACGTTGCTTTGTGAATAGCAGCTGACACAGCACTGAATGTCTGTCGGGAACGGGGCGCTGGTCTTGCAGAACATGAAACAATCATGCACGCCCATCATAGTTAAGGCTCCCCACACTCACGCACCTCTGCTTCAGATCAGCGCATGACACTTGCATCACTGCCCTTTAACAAAATAAAATAAATTAAAAGAGCACTTTAACCAAGGGCCTGAAATGGGCCGTGGTGCCCTTTGATTAGTCAGGTTCTTACCAGCTGTGTTGGGAGCAAAGCCCAACCTGCGTCACTGAAACCAACACACCCAAGCAAATCTGAGACATGCCCAAGCCCAATCTGCCAGGGAGGCCCCGTTATCAAGTTCAAAATGGCTTTGCAGCTGCGGGCTGCCCTCGGATAGACTACTGCAATTCAAATTGCACATTCGTCCTCCGTGGAACCTTTCCATAGAGTCGATATGGCGATTGTGCAGCACAACCCCGCGTTAAATTCAGTAAAGTGTACTGTTTTGAAGACCCCGTTTGGCGGTGCTAACAGAAAACCGGAAGGAAGCCAACCATTTTGGGAGGCCCATTTCTCCCTTGAGTCCCTGTTTGGGGGTTGCAAATAGTCCATCTCTCGCCAAGCTGCAGCCCTCTCCTGTGCGGCATGTTCTGACACCTCTGCCTCTGCCTAGGCAAGGGAGTGGGATAGGTATCTGGGGATCACCCTAACAGAGTCCGAGGACAAGTGCACAACCCGCTGCTCAAAATACACATACACTTGCATGTACATATATATATGTATTCTACATAATATGTACATATTATATGTTGAGACACATATTTTAGGCCAAACTCAAAGATATATAACTACAGGCATCCCACCAAAGCAAGCTCGAAACACGCCAAGGCCAGCTGTGTGAATTTCAAGAGCCATTGCTACAGGGGCACGTGGCGGGCTCCAGTTGCTCATTTTGCGCAGGATGCATGGAACATCATTGAAGCATGGCCAGACCAAGCATGGCCAGGACCATGGTTTGTATTGGTTGAACTAGAGAGTGAAGGAACGCCAACAAGGCGAACAGTTCAGTCAAGACTGACAATGAATTCAGCAACCAAAATGGCGGAGTCCTGCAAAACGAGCCTTCATTGGTAGAAGAGCCACTTATTTGGATTCTGCTGCGTCGCTATAGGCCCAGAATGGGCCTATGGACTTTGCAACGGGATTCGAGGTCACGTGTTGAGAACTAAAAACGAAGCCTTGCAGCAGAAAGCAACACACAATGAATTGGAAGTTTGAGGGTTGAACCTTATTCATTTTGGAACCAAACGGGGAAGTAATTTTCTAACGTCCAACCACCAACTAGGGGAAGGGTGAACACGCAAAGCCTGTGTGTCTCGCCTCAACACGGAACACCATCCTAGGAGGTGGCGAGAAACGATGGCTAGCACGCCAGGTCACAACTCCACAATAAAGGCACACGGAACACCATTCTAGGAGGCAGTAAAGGCGAACAAAGCATACGCACACACAGACCCAAACACAAAGGCAAACAGTCAAAGAAACACTCCATGCAATATACAAAGAAAGAGAGAAACACACAAACAAAGAAACACGAACATTCCGAGGCACAAAGACCAAGAAAATGGGGACCATCATCACAGCAAGCAAGCACGCAAACACACAGACAGACAAACTGACAAACAACCAGCCAGCGAGCAAGGCAGGAATGCAAACTGACAGAAAGGCAGACAAACAGACTGGGCAAAGACAAAATAACAAACAAACAATGAAACAAACAAACACACGAAGCACACAAGACACAAAGAAACACACACACACACACAAAGACACACACACACAAAGAAACACAAACAAAACAAACGAAATAACTAAAGCAAACAGAAAAACTAACGAATCAAACCACAACTAAACAAAGCAACAACAAAAGCATACACATCCTATTCTACAAACAAACACACACACACAAACAAACAAACAAACACACAGAAACACAGAAACACGGGAACATAGAAACACAACAGAGAAGAAAGACAGAAATACGGAAAGAAAGAAAGAAAGAAAGAAAGAAACAAAGAAAGAAAGAAAGAAGACAGAAATAAATAAATAATAAAAACAACATAAATAAAACAATAAATATTTATTAAAACACTATAGTAATAAACACACGAGTAAAGACACAAATAAATCAATAAATAAATAAATAAATAAATAAATAAATAAATAAATCAAACATACTGAAACAATCAAGGCATGAATAAAGAACGCAACAAACAAAGAAACAAAGACATAAACAAATAACAAACAAACTAACTAACAACCCAAATGCACGCAGACACAAACAAAAGACAACATAAAAGAAACAAAACACACAAAACAAGCAAGCAAAAACAAGTACCAACAAACAAGCCATCAAACGATTTGATGCCCACATTTCCACGGTACCCACCATGCGCTCCACTTGTTCTTCTAGAGGGCAACCGGGAAACCAGAGAGGGAAGCCAACCTTCTACTTCACCATTCTTGGATTTGTTGAAATCGTGTATTCATGGTCAACAAACCAAAGCATGTTGCCCCACTTTGAGGAATCCTGAGCCCGGTCCGTGGCAAACCCTCCCCCGCGCTTCAATCGCCTCGAGCTCCGACCGCAGCCGCGCCGTCTGCAGCCGCGCCTTCTGCAGCTCTCGCCGCGCCTGCGTGGTGAAGCAGGAGCTTAGCGCAGCGTGGCCGACCTGCGCGACCTGGGGGCGAACATTTAGCGCCCTTAACTTGTATCACCAACGAGCAGACACACATATTTGCAAAAGTCTCTCTCTTGTGTTGAGGACTAAGATTTGTTGGACAATTCCAAGCAGAACCTCATCTTATCTGTTTAGGCCACATAGCCCCCTGTGGTGGAATCAAATGCCACAAGCAACCGTTCCATTTTTCCTGGCCGCATTCGCGGAATCGACTTAGGGTAGTAGCCACCAGATTGG